ACAAGTAGACTGGATTTATTTGGGCGATAAGGGATAAAAAAAGCATGTTTGCGCAACGCTGCTTCGAGTGGACTTGAGGTAGAGCAAAATTCGGGAAAGAAGAAAAAGCGAAGAGTGTGTTGTCGATAGATGACAGAGTAGCAGAGAAACCTTTGGCAGTATAGATTTTGCCCTTTTTTTAAATCTGTTCCAAATTTATTCATCTAGTCGCCGTCCTTGGATTCACATCACTTGGCATTACTTTGCGCCTGGTATTTTTCCTAATACCTACACATAGAACAACATCAGTTACATTAACGGATTGCAATTGTCCGTTAACACTTAAACGTACAACAAGCATCGTTTTAAGTCACGCGTTTGCCACGTATTCCGTCCTATTTACTACACCGAATATAAGAGACAAAAAGGAAAAAAATGAATTTTTAGTACTTGACTTTAGAACATACTTTGGAAAGATCTACCCCAGTCAGCGCTTGTACAGCTGGAGGTACTTGCCCAACAAGACGCGTAAGTTCTCCACTGGTCGCATCGCTTCCGCCAAGAAGTACAATTTCTTCCGTTCTCGCTAACGGTGCTGCGACTTCGGCTGCAATCTGTACAAAAAAAAAAAAAAGAAAAAACGTTATTATTATAATACTAATTTATGCATTAATACTACAATATGTAAACGTAATGCATAACACATCGTTCACCTTCGGCAAGGCATTCAGAGTGATGTTAAGTATCGCCGCATCGCCGTATTTTTTATAAACTGCTGCTTTCATTCGCATGCGTTCGGCCTCCGATATACCGACAGCTTCTAGAGCGTGAGCCTCGGCCTCTCCGATCAATCGAATTTTCTCAGCTTCGGCTTTTGCTGCGCTTACAGTTTGAGTTCTGTAAATAAATGGTATTGAAACAAGTTACGTCAAACAAAAATTATAAATTACATCTCCTGTTTCGCGAAAATTTTACCTTTTTCCCTCGGCAATTCGTCCCATTTTATAAAATTCAGCTTCAGCTGGTAAACGCACTGTGCTCTGGAGCTCATGTTCCTTTCGACGGACCTCTTGTTCCTCGACTTCGATTTGCTTGCGCCTTTCCACGACTTCTATCTGTATTTCCTCGTTTCGTATCCGCTGTTTTATTTTTGCTGCTTGAAGCTCATAAGCTAATTGAGCCTCGGCTTTCTGAAAAAGTAGAATAAAGTATACATATACGTAAACACTTTGAGAATGACTTTGTTGGAAATATTGATCACTCGCGTATTTCACAAAGAATAAACTTACCGCTGTATTTACTTCTTGATCGAAATTAGCCTTCTGCAATTGGTAGAGTCTCGCGTTGTCCTCTATCTTCGTGTCGGTATTATATTTTATGTCCATCGCCGATTTTTCGCATTCCGCTTCCTATCGTAAAGCAACGAAAAAAATTATAAAATTGCGTTAACAAGTCGCAAACTCTACAAAACGTCCTGTTAGCGATATTATCTCTTTCTACAAGTTGAAATCGATTTTCTCTTCCAACGTGAATGAAACGTAAAAAAAGGTCGCTATTTTACTGCATAACTGCATTCGTATTCCTCACTTCCATTCTCTCTCTCTCTCTCTCTCTCTCTCTCTCTCTCACTCAGTCACTCCAAGCTTATTGAAAAATATTTTTAATTAGACATTATAATTATACCGTGAATATAAATGTAATCTTAGAAATTTATCATTTTTGTATACAGCGACATATATCGTATAAGCCAAAACATACCCTAATACCGGCATCTCGATTTGCTTCGGCGACGCCTACATCAGCGTCTCGTTTAACAGCCGCTGTTTGGGCTTTGCCGAGCGATGTTAAATATTGAACCTCGTCGTAAACATCCTTTATTGTGAACGAGAGAATCTCGATACCCATGCGACCGACATCTGGTGCGGCAACTTCTCGTACAAGAGCCGCAAATTGATCTCGATCCTTATAAACTTCCTCCACGGAAAGTGTTCCTAAGAAAAAGCATTATTTCCTTCCAACGATTTTATCAGAAGAGTAGTTTTAATCAATTTGACGGAGCCAATTATTTATTTTTCGCGCAATTATTTAATTTTCTTGTTGTGAATTAAATATATGAGAAAAATTTTTTTCATATCTTACAAATTACGTTATAGGTACACCCAAAAAATAGAAGTGTTTATATAATTCTCATTGTGTTGGTGTTAACATTAATACCAATATGATGTGGATTTAGCATCATATAGATGGGTTTTTAATCCACAGCAGTATTTTCTAGAATGTACACATTACAGACATTACATTATTAATCGTCTAATTATTCTAATATTAATCTGAAAGCTCTACATAGAATAGGAGCGTCAAAACACACAATTGTGTAAATTAAAATGTTTTTATATTACAATACGTGGCCTGTTAATTGTTTATGAAAAGGTGCTAATTATCCACATCGACCGAGAGATTGTTTCCAGAAAAAAAAAACAGTGTACCATAATTTGCTTAATTATAAAATAAAACGTACCCAAAATAGCTCGAAGGTGACCCTCTAAGGTGGACAGGATCGTGGACTTAATCTCGTGAACACTCTTTCCAAGAAACTGTTCACTGGCAGTGTGCAACAATTCGTCGGCTTTCATGATTTTGCATTGTGCCACTCCAGTGACCGTCAACGGTACTCCCTGTGCCGTTTCCACACTCTCGCATACAGGGTTCAGAGTCATCACCTCTAACGATAACCGCTGTACGTCGGTTACGAACCACCAGGTAAACGCGTATCCACCCACGATGGTCCTCTTCCTCATGGAGCCGCAGCATCCTCCTATGGAACGCAAAGATAATTCGTATGAGTGTTATTAATTCTTGCGAGAGAATTTACTTGCAATATGTATAACTTTCAATAAAATATCGTTGAGATTTTATCAATATTCGAGTTTTATTATTATCGGAATCTTATTATGCCTTGGAATTCTGTTTGCAGAAATTAATTATTTTTTATGAACAATTGTCGAGAAGAAGGAAATATTATCGGTATCTACATTGAAATAAATCAATCTTACGCACCAGTTAAGATTACACTGAGAAAAAAGTTTTGTTGATATATGACCAACAAAAAGTTTTTCGTTGTCCTAACCAAAATTTGGTTACTCTAACCAAATTTTTGGTTAGGACAACAAAGTTTTTGTTAAAATATGTGACTAACAAAAACTTTTATGTTATTCTAACAAAAAATTTTGTTAGCATAATTAAATTTTGGTTAGGACAACGAAAAATTTTTTGTTGGTCATATATCAACAAAACTTTTTTCTGAGTGTATGTAAATATGAAACCGGAATTTACCGGAATTACAATAGATGGCCATAGCTGTCAATGTAGTTGCCGTCAGACCGCGTCATTGACGCCATTTCCTTGTTCTGACATCTGACAAAGATTTTCAACTGACAACAATACAAGTTTCATACAACAGTATAGTTTGTAATAGCGTTGAACATGTCGAATTTTGTGCCTGGAAACTACGATTTGCGG